GCGCTGGGCGCCGCGCGCTGCGTGGTGGGGCTCCCCGCCGCCCTCCCTGGCGCGCTGTCGCCGGCGGCGGGCGGCGGCGGGGACGTCCCCAGGTGCTGGGGGCTGCTGCTGCATGCCGAGGTGGACCCCGGGCTGCCGCCATTCCCTGTTTGGCTGCAGGGTGCCGGGGATGATGCGCCGCTGCTGGTGAGGGGGTTAGGGGGTTTGTGGTGGAAGGCGCCCAGGCTGCAGCTCGGGGATCAGCGCCAGTGCCGGCGCGTGAATTACAGGAATCATCCTGGGGTCTGCAACCACGGCGAGGCAGTGCTTCTGGAACTCGAGCGTCGCAGAGGTGCAGGCCTCACAGCCCGGCAGCCCAGCCCAGGGAGAGATCGGTGATATCTATCATTGCCTAAGTCGTCATCAGGCACCAGAGAAGACATATCATCCATCCCCTGTTTGCAACCGCAACGCGGCCCCCACCCCACTCCACCCCACACACGCCCGCCTGTTTTTTTGTGCCCTCAGGTGACCCTCGAGCCCGCAAGCCGGGTGACGCTGAGCCCCTCTGAGCTGCGGCTGCTGACGTCACTCCAGGTCATGCTCGAGGCCCACCTGCACCTGCCCAAGGCAAGCTCTTATGCAACCGCATTGCAGGGCGCCGCATACGGCTGCGTTCGATAGTCCAAGGGTATGCATAGGTCAAAGTGGTGCGTGTCGGGTGCAGAGGCATACCAGCAAATGGGCGGGAGTGAGCCCACACTTCTGTTTGCATCCTGCGGCAGCAGCTGACTGCAGGAGCAGGCTCGGCGCCCACCCCTGCGGCATGCCTGTTATTGGAACACCCACAAGCAAGCAAAAAAGCCGGAGCGGCAAGCTTCCAAGCGCGTGCCCTGCAGCTGCCAGTGGCCCAAGCTCATGCCTTCAAGCATGGGGGTGTGGAGGGCATGCTAGCACGTGGTTTCACACCGCGCCGGTGCGCAAAGGTCGATCAGATGTACACATGTGTATGGATGTACCTTGTGCAGGCAGTCAAGGCGGTCGATGCTGCGCCCCACCTGGACGATCTGCTGGGGGTCTCCGCCCTCAGGGCGGCGCTGGCGGAGCACGACGCCGCGGGCGGCGTCGCTGCCGGGGCGCCGCGCGCGCTATTCTCAGACGGCGGCGCGCCCTCATGTGCACCTGCGTTCGGGCCCGTCAGCTACCTGATAGCGCCTGTTGCCGCCGCCGCGGCTGCCGCCGCGGCCGGCGCCGGCACAGGCGCGAGCGGGCGGGGGTTGGCCCCAGGCATCGACTGGCAAGCGCTGCGGCGGCTGGGGGAGGAAGGGGTACGGCCAGCCTCAAACATCTGGGAAGATCACGCTGCTGCAGCTGCAGCAAGCGTCCCGTTCGCCATGGGCGCCGCCCCGCGGCCGCCGCCCTCGCCCGCCGAGGCGCTCGCTGGCCGCGTGCTGTGGACGGGGCACTCTGGCGCGGTCGCATTCTGGCACACGCCCCTGAGCGGCGGCGGCCCCGCTGCGGCGGCGGCGGCCGTGACGGCGCGCGACCCCTGCAGCTTCCTCCCTGCTGACGTCTCCACCCACGAGAATTACTTCCTGAAAAAGTACGGGCGGCAGCTGCAGCGCCCGCAGCTGCCGCTGCTGCCTGTGCTGGGGGGCCGGGGCGTGGGGGCCGGCAGGGTGCTGGGGCCGCCCTCGAGCAGGCGGTCGCGGCGGCGCGCACTGCAGCAGGCGGAGGACGAGGAGGAGGGGTTAGCTGCGGGCAACGGCGAGGCGCGAAACCTCGTTGAGGGTCCCGCGGGCGCCGAGCCTGAGGAGCGGGTTGGGGTTGGGGAGGATGAGGAGGAGGAAGAGGAAGCTGCAGGTGCAGCCGTGGGCGCGCATGGCGGCTCTCAGCCTGCGGCATACGACGCGCCGCGGCCGCCGCTGCTGCCGCTGGAGCTGTGCCTCGCGCTGCCGCTGCCGCGCAACGCCTGGCGCGAGCTGATGGCGCTGCCGGCGGTCGCCTTCCGCCTCCACACGCTGCACCAGCTGCGCGCGGCGCAAGGCGACGGCGCCGCGGCGCCTGTTGGTGACGGCGGCGGCGGCGAGGGCGGCGGTCTCGCAGCGCAGCTGCGGCGGCTGCCCGCGCCGCTGGCTGATGTGGCGCTGACGGCGGCGCGGGCGGGGGAGGCCTATGGAGATCAGGAGCTCCTGGAGTTTGTTGGGGACGGTGAGTCATCAACCGCCGCGGCTGCTTCAACGTCATTGCCCAGTCTGTCAAACTTCTGCAAGTGCCGCGGATGGGTCGTCGTGCTGGCAGGCCCATACAATGACTTGCGCTCTTTTGCACAAGCGCCCCCCGCCTCCTGGCTTGCTTCATGCATCCTTGCCAGCGACCGTTTTTCCCCCTTGATTCGTCAACGTTTCGCCTCCGCCGGTGCGCCAATCCAACCCACTCTGCTGCGTAGCCATGCTGAAGACCCTGGCGTGCCTTCATCTTTACAGGGTGCGGGGCCGGGTGCCAAATGCACCATCACCGCATTGACCCAGTCAAACCCCCTGACGACCCGCGGTTTGACCCGGTCAAACCGTACCACCAAGTCGACGCGCAGACCGCTGCAAATCGGCTCTGCCGCTCCCCATCAATTAGATCCCAAGCACACACGCCGGCCGGCGCGCGCGCAGCTGGGCACTCCTGTATGGTGCGTAGCGGTGTCGGTCGCGCGAGTCGTCAAACACTCCGGACCCAACCAATGTCCGCATGACCCGTGTGTCTCCGCCTCAAACGGCGCAGGCCTGCCCAGACCACAACGAGGGCCAGCTGTCCGTGGCCAGGGCGCGCCTCGTCCGCAACTACGCACTGGCGGCCGCCTGCACCCAGGCAGGCCTGGCGCCCCATGTGCGGCTGCGGGCATTCGAGCCGCGGGACTGGGGACCGCTGGCGCTGGCCGGGCGCGGCGGGACGGTCCAGGTGCGTGCCCGCGTGCGGCCATCTGCAGGCGGGGGAGAGTTCATCTTCTTTTCTTTTTGAGGGATGAGGGATTTCTGAAGGCCAGACTGGATGGTTTCCTGTGCACCTCTCCTCAGCAGCAGATCTGCTGAGCGCAGGGCCGCCTGCCTGAGTGGTGCCAGTGAAGAACGCCGTCTGGTCCGTGTGCTTGCGCTTCGCTGCTATGGCCGGACGGCTCGACTGTCCTGGGTGTCAAAGCTCGATGGCCGGACGTGCGCGTTCATGCTCTCGTGCCCACCTTTGTCGAACCCTTCCCTCCCTCACATCTGCTGGTTTCTCAATATGATCTGGTCCAAGGTTGACTTCAAGGGCAAGGTGCTGGCAGACACAGCAGAGGCCCTCATCGGCGCTGCGTACCTGTCGGCCGCCGCGGAGGCCGGCCTGCTGCCCCCAGGGGTTGGCCGTGGCGGCGCGGGCGCGGCTGTGGGGGCCTGCCCCCTGGACCCGCGAGGGCTGGAGCGCGCCGAGCAGATGTGCATCGCCCTGGGGGTGCTGCCGCCAGGTTCGCGTTTGGGCGTCTCAAAGGGCGTTCTGGCATGGACCCGTTGGTTTTGGCAGCTATAAACTCGCCTTGCTTCGAAGCGGGGCAGACAGCGGATATTCACCGGTGTGTCCGTGGCGCTGTCGGGCTTAGCAGCTCTGTGCATCTGCTCGGCGGACAGATTCACGCATCACTTCATCCTTTCCCTGCTCATGCCGATTAACATGGTGCGCCATGAATGCGTTCGCCCCCCCGCCCACGCATGTAAGCAGACGCCGCCGGGTGCACGCGCGGCGCCGCAGGCCCCGCGACGCCGCGGCCGCCGCCTATCGCCGCGCGCGCGCAGGCGGGGCGCGACGTCGCGGGCCGCCCCGCGGTGGCCGCGGTGCTGGGCGGCTATGTATTCCGGTGCCCCGAGCTGCTGCTGCAGGCCGTGACTCACGTGTCCATCCCGGGCGTACCCAGCTACCAGCGGCTGGAGTTTTTGGGGGGTGAGGGCGCCACGGGCCCTGCCACCCTTTTACAGCCCCTCTGCCACCCATCTGCCACCCATCTGCCACCCATCTGCCGCCCCTCTGTTTCCCCTGCTTCATCCCTGGTTGGTGCATCCACAGCTGTGCCTGGATCCTCCACATGACCTTTCGCCCCCTCGGCCGAGGCGTTCGGCCTCCTGCCGTCCGAGCAGCCCTTCAACCATTCCCCCCCACACCACATGCAACCGTCGATCGATCCCGCCCTGCTCCCCATCTTCCCTCCCCAACTTTGCAGCTGACCCCCTCCTTGCTTGCCGTCCTCAGACGCGCTGCTCGACCTTTTCGTCTCTCTTGACCTGCTGCGCAACGCCAACAGCGGCGGCGGCGCCCCCGCCAGCCCTTACAGCCTGACAGTGCAGCGCTCGCAGGACGTCAGGAACGCGCGCCTCGCGGCGGCCGCCGCTGAGCTGGGACTGCACACGGCGATCAGAGTGGGCGGCCGCGCGCTGAGGGCGGCGCTTGAGCGGTACGCGGGCGTCGGGGCGGCGGGCGAGGCGGCGGGCGGCGGCGGCGGGCAGCAGGCTGTCGATTTGATGGCGGCGGCGGCGGCGGCCCGGCCGATGGAGCCGTGGGCGGACGACGTGAGCGAGGCGATCTGGGCGGAGGTCTGGACGAATCGCGGCGACGGCGGCGCTAGTGGTGGTGAGGGTGCTGAGGAGCCGGGGCTGCAAGGCGAGGGGCGGGACGCATCTGCCCGGCAGCTGCCGCAGGAGCAGCGGCCGCCCAAGGTGATGGCCGACGTCGTCGAGGCGCTGATCGCAGCGGTGTGGCTCGACAGCGGCGGCGACTACGAGGCGGCGTGGCGCGTCGCGGCGCGGGTGCTGGCCGCAGGCGCCGCGCGCGGGTGATGTGGAGCGCCGGGCCGCCGGCGACGCGCCTCTCGGCATGGGGGCGCCTATGTTCCACGCACCCTCTGCCGCGTAGGGCTTTGATGTTGCTTGGGTTTAGCCAGCTGCGGTGTTGCTTGCTTGGATGATGGTGGCGTTTTGGGCGTTCTTGCCGCTGCAGCTTTGCTGGGTGCCCGTTCATCTGCCAGCTGCTTGCACTCTACGAGTGGCCGCGTCACCTGACTCTGATGACGGTTCCAGTAGATGTTGTTAATGGCTCTAGTAGATACGGCGCAGTGCTCGCTTCTGGTTGAGCGGCGCTAGGTTTTGTAACACACGCCATGCAATGCACGCGCCAGGCTGTGCGCTGGGTGTGGCGGGGCTGCTGCTTTTGAAAGTAGAGGGAGCCAGGGGGTCGGCGATGCGGTCGCCGCCTGTCACTGCGCAGCCGCGGCCCCTTCCAATCACCTTGTGCGTCGCAGGTTTGGCAACACTGCGCGGTTTGGTGCAGCGCCGAGCCGAGCTTTCGGCTGTCTTGCTCCTGGCTTGCTGTAGGTTTGCTGGTGTGCGGGAGGCGCTTCTTGCCAGGAAATGAGGGTGGAGGCCGGGCAGCGAGGCCTTCGCAGTAGGCAACGCACAAGAATTGTTGCAGGGGGCCTTGGAAAAGGGCACTTGACTGCCCCAGGAGTAAGCTGCACAGGGGGCGTGCTGCCGTTCATGGGGATGTTCGGCCCGCACAGAAAATGTGCGCTCCAGAGTTTCCAAGCAACGCCTTTTGGACTGGTCCGGCCGATTGCTGCGATAACGTGGCTGGGGGACGAGTCACGTGACTACCATCAAGTCATTGACGCCAGCCACCGCCCGACAGCAGTTACTCCGCATGGATGCGCCGCACGAGCAGCACCGTCCCGGGCACCGCCCTCTCCCCCTCCCCCCGCGCCGCCGCCGACGCGTCGGCCACCGCGCCGTACCACGGCCACACAGCCAGCGGCTCCCCCAGCTCCCCCTGCAGCGCCAGCACCGCGCGCAGCGCGCGGTTCACCCCCTGCTCGCCGCGCGCCTCCAGAGCGTGCCCGCCCCTTTCAGACTCCAGGCCGGCCCTCAGCGCGGCGGCGAGCTCCCCCGCGCCCCGCACGACCGCCGTGCTGGTCCTGTCGCCGGCGCCCGTCCACTCCGCCGGCCGCGGCGGCGGCGCGGGCACGGCGCCGATGATGAGCTTGCGTATGCTGCGCTTCTCGCGCCCGGGGTCGCCGTCGGGGGGCGCGAGCTGCAGCGTGGCCGCGACGCCGTCGGCGCGGGGCGAGGCGACGGCGCCGGCGCCGGCGTCGGCGTCGGTGGAGGGGGCGGCGGCGCGCGTGGAGAGCATTTCTTGGGCAGTGACCAGCACTCCAATGGCGTAGACCTGTGCCGACGGTGGGTTTGTCACCACTTTTAGCTCTTGCTTCCAACAAAGGAGAGGCTTGTGTCCGCGATTGGGCGCAAAAAGCGGCGCGACAACCGCGCCTCTTTGCAGTGCGCCGTATCACCCGCGCCCCCAGCTGCCTAGAAATCAGCCCCATGGCGTCTTGATGAAACAGCGGCTCGACTCCTGACACCCCCTCCTGCCTCGCCTCCTGGCAGCTGGGGTGTCCGGCCGGCAGAGCTGCCACACGCCGCCGGCGCGGCACGTGTGCACATGGGACGCCGGGTGACTGGGATGGTTGGGAACGAGGCAAAGCGACCACGCACCTGGCTGCTGACGCCGGTGCACCAGATCTCTGCGCCGCCGAACGCGTCCAGCTGCCTTATGAGGGCCTGGGCCGCGCGCGCCAGGTCAGAGGAGGGGCTGACGGTGATGATCTGGTGGGGTTGGTTGAGGTTACGTGCAGAAGTGTATGTGTGTAAGTGTGTGTGTGTGTGCTTGAGTGTGTGTGTTAGTGTGTGTGTGTGTGTGTGTGTGCACGTGCATCTGGGCTCAGGTGTGTGTGATACAGCGAGATAGGACGAGAGTGCGTGCTTGTATGTGTGTGCGGGAGAGCAAGAAAGCGAGAGAGAAAGATTGTGTGTGTGTGTATTGATGTGTGTGCATGCATGGCCTTGCAATCACAATTTTGATGTGTGCAAGCATGTCAGCACGAATCATAGAGTGTGAGCAGGCGTGGTCGCATGCAGGAGAAGAGGGGGGGGCCAAAGACGTTGCGCTCGAGCATCAGCCGCAAGTCATGTCACAGCAGACGAACAGCTTGGCGTCTCTGGAGACGCCCTTGATTGTGCTCGCACTGCGTACCTGCTTTTGCAATGGCGGCCTCGGCAGCTGCTGCATCGGAGGGCCGCGCTGCTGTGTTGACGGGTGCCGCTGCAGGTCCTGCTCCCGCCCCGCCCTGCTCGCACCACTGGCGCTGCTGGCGTGAGGACAATGGCAGTGGCTGCTGCGGCGGCCGCTAAAGCGTATCACAGGGAGCGCGCCACCGCCGCCGCTGCTGCTGCTGCCCGAGCGGACGCCGCTCTGCCGTGTGCCGGCGGCTGATTGGCTGAGCGACTGCATGCGTGCCGTGGTGGTGGCCAACGACGTTCTTGGATGCTAAAATACGCGTAAATATGCCAGTCGACCTATCGTATCGTGCGTGTGTGGCTGACAGTGGTGTCAAACTTGAAAGCTCGTGGCCGTGATCAATGTCAAGAGCTCCGGAATGCACGTTTGCATATTGTACGCCTATGATACGAGTGACAGGAACCCGGTGCACGTCGAGGTCTGCGGCACTCGACAGCCGCCACCCCCCTTGCAGTGGAGGGCGCAGTCGCCATCTGGTCGCCGTCGTACAGTGTCGCACTGGGCACCGG